GATTGACACTCCGAATAGGTTCCTTATGCAGACCTGCAGTTTTAAATACGGTACGGTAATCCCATAACATAGTTATAGTTATTCTATAATAAAGCAACACAGGCAACAATAGAAACACATAACAGATGAAAAAAATTAGGCTAATCTTTTTTTCCATTTTTTTTTTTATAATATGAAATATCATTTCTTTGTCCCATGCATTATTAATGCAAAAGTTAGGCCAAGTTTAATAATTGTTTCCGAATCTCCAATAGTGCATCCATCTATTGTAATGTATCTAATTAATCATAGGCCTATTTATTAGATCATATTTTGTGAAGTGTTCATAACAACATGCAATTGTATTTCCTTCGTCATTTTCTGAAATATGATCATATCTGTACTTTTGTCGTTGATTTGGTGAGTATTATATTTAATTCAATTTCACTTATTGCTTCTAAGTGGTACAATAAGACGGATACAGAGCAAAAACATAAATACAAGAAAGGAGAAAAGGGGAAGAGAAGTGACAGAAAGGATTCCATAAAAAACACCGTGTTCGAAAATAAAATATAAATTTGGAATTTGAATACACTATTAACATTTATATAAAATAAAATATGTTTTACCAACCAGTGCTGGCAAACGATTAACATTTTCTTAAAGTTGGTGGAGATCTTAAATTGATTCGGAGACTCTTTGTGATCAATCGAAACAAGGCCAAAAATGAATGCGCGTCTCCTACATGTAAGCACAAATGTTGTCCCCCAAACGGACGTGTTTACTTAAATTTACGCTATTGTTTTGTAGGACCTCAGCAAGATTAAGTTCCAATTTTGTATTGTTCTAATTACTAGTGATTATTTCCCCGGGGTGGGGTTGAAACATGGGCCTCTGGACCCAAATTCCTAGAGATGCCCGTTAACACTCCTTTGGGGTTCTAAAATTCCTGCCCTAACTATTTGACAAAACAAGCTTCCTACGGGCCTGGTGCTATTAAACTACACGGCAGAGTTTGACCTCTTGTGCCAAAAACAGACAACACTTCCTCGAGGAAGACACAGCTTTCCTTTTCTTTCATAAAACCATCTACCTTGCAGAATATAGATTTTTCCATCTGACTATCGGCCTTCATGGCATAAAAACGCTTGGCAATTCCGCCCACGAAATAAGCTAAATTTAATTCCGCCAAATTTCTCAGCTTTTCGTCTTGGAGGATAGGCTATTGGTGTTTTCGCCCACGAGATAAAGCCGACATTACGGCCCGACGCGTAACAAATGAAACGATTCCAATGAAGAATACTGACCTTTTCAATGGTAAGACTACTTTAAGTTGGTATCTTTTTTAACACGCCAAAGCATATATATAGCTAGCAATAAAGTATATGCCACTCGTGTCTTTATTTAATCTATGCCTATATTAACATTAAGCACGAAATGACATATGCAAAAATGAGTCCCCGGGTGTTTCATGTGAGACTAGATAAATGAAATGAAATGAAATTCACAATCCACGTTCATCAATAACAATGGTGTAGCTGATATAGATTGATGATTATTAGGCATTAATGAACAGCAATTAGGACACGTTGTCAACTTGTTCGTCCCGTCACGAGCCAAAAAACCCCTCCGGCCCATAGCTTAGTATAATCATGGTGTAATCAGCCACGGAAAAAAAACACAGATGCGTAGTAAGCAGGTACTAAGCGCGGCGATCATTAAAATAACACTAATAAACGCAGAGTGTTCTTAGATTTTGATACCGAACGTGCAGATCATAATGCAGTTTGTGATTGGAAGAGAGAGTACAGTTATAAATCAAATCGGGGTAGCATTCTAAATTCCATCAGTGAAATAAGAAAATTATTAAATGGTTATCTCTAAGATAAAAGATGTGTCAGGTTTATACTCCTTTGTAATGTATACATCTTCCATGTGTGCGAATGTCGGTAAACTGTTAGGCCTACGCATTATAGATAATAACTCATAAATGGACGCAACAGACGTTGAGGTTACACCCACAACATGGAACTGTAAAAATGAATTCAAGTTGTTCATTGGTCAACTTGGCAGAAGATGACTACAGTAGTTTCCCACTCCGGACAGAGTATTGTTAGATGATCAAAGTTAAATCGAATAAATTTATACTTGTAGGCATACCCACGAGATAATCGATAAACCTATAGGTCGGTCAATCAATCAATCAATCAATCAATCAATCAATCAACAAACTAATCAATCAACAAATCAGTCAATCAATCAATCAATCAGCTAATCAAAAATCGATCAACCAAAAGAGAATAGCTTTTCATATCTAATAAAAAATCAGGGTGGCAAATGGTTTTCAATGTGGGATTATGTATTAGTCTTACGAGTAACTGGATGCGCACGATCGGCTCAGACGATTCAATGGAGACTGCAACACGACGAGACACGGGAGACGGATCGTATTCATCGACGATTCGAAAACTGCCACATCGACAATCAGTAGACACATCGTCAGTCGCTTATAAATGGAGATGGAATAGACAAGCGCTAACGCAGGATAGAGATGGATTTAATGGTGTTAAACTCTTTACAAACTATCATATTTTATGTGACAAATTTGTGTCCTATATTATACCCAAATATGGACATATCACACCCACATATGGACTTATCACACCCAAATATGGACATATCATACCCAAATATTGACATATCACACCCAAATATGGACATATCACATGTATTTGTTACATATAATTTGGTAGTGTGCATAGTGGACCATTTTGGGCAGTCACCAATTTCTTTCGGGGGATTATAAAATGTGCTCGTTGTTTAATCAATTTGTCACCGTATTCTAATTTTTTTAACGACGAAATAAATAGTATGATATTGGCGGTTAATCTAATAATTTGATGGGGCACGAAGAACGGGGCAAGGAGGGAGTTTCACAGATGGAGGGTCTATACCACCTCAGCCCCACCATGGTTGGGGTGAGGTAAGAACATTTATGATTATGACACCTTTAGATTGCTGGAAACAGACATATTTCTCCATTTTAAAAACTAAATTTGAAAAATTTGTTAGGGCCCACGGGCTACAAGCCGATGTCAGAGACACATTATGTTGTTATGTAAACAAAGCCCATTTGGGTCAGAGTGCTAGATCGAGGACCCTATAGGGGCGGCTTCTGGCCTCTAGAGGCGGGGCACTGCGGACCGCCGCACGAGAGAGCATAGGCGTTATGCCACTGTTCGTGGCTTGCGTGTTTCATGTTAAGTCAGCTAATTTTTATTTGCGTTTGTGTATAATTTTAACTGGCAGTATCAATATAATATGGTATAGAGGGGTTTTTTTTTTTGCGTTTGTCTAACGAGTCACGTCTCATTTTCTCGTGATTTTAAGTGTACGCACAATCACACAATACGTAGGCCTAGCTCTGCGTATTACTTACAGTATTTAAATATGAGCCAGTTATATTACGAAGACCTAAACATTTTGTATCTATTTGAAAATACCCTTAATTGCTACCCGGATAACTAATTCTTAGAAAAAAATATTCATGCATTATAATTTCAAATTACTCGAATATATGATAATAATCACATCATACCAAGCTATGTATATAATTATACCATCCAAGGTTATAAATATTGAACTATGAGGTACCGGTAATAATAATAAAAAAAAAAACAAGAACAATAACGGAAATACAATGAGAATATTGTGTTTATAACGTTAAAAAAGGAAGACGTCGAGATTATGTGGCAAACCGATATTAAATTTCATCGAATGCATATGTTATAAGCTTAATATCTAATTTATGAAATACATGAGACTTTAACCTTTATTGAAGACATTACCAAAAGAATCTAAGAGGAAGTCAAGATGTTGGACGCTCCATAATATTTTTCAATGTTCTTATAAGTCTCCGTTTATTTTGGGCAAAGAAGCTGTATCATTAAGGATCTGAGAAGGCGAGGTGTAGATTTGAAATGCAGTCTGGGGCAAGACCATTAAGTGCTAAATTCCAAAGTAGCAATATCTCGAATAACGCCCGATTTTCATAAAATTGCTACATGATATATCGCAAACTCTCTTCGGCGACGCCGATTGTTCAGTCGAATTAAGGAGGCTTCCTGATCGCGTCGGCGACAGTGCGCAATTGTTGTAGTGAATACTGTACGCTTTAGCGACAGTGTAGCAATATTATGGAAACCAGGGTATAAGTCTGTGTGTTCGTTAATCTTATAAAAAGTCAGTCAATGTAGACTGCAAAGAACAAGGGTGATAAGTTATTGCCTCTTGACTTGGTTCAGGAGAAACTGAAAGCGATAGCGTAAGGAGTCATAATAAAACGATTAGGCGTAGTATAGAACTACTAACTAGGCATAAATGAGTAAACAAATGAGGGAACACATATTCAAGTAAAGCAACAACATTATAGGCCTATACTTGCCCCGGGACGAACGCAATTACATATTACTACTTACGCGTTGCTACTAGAACGAAGGAAAAATAGAAGATAGGCTTAGGCCTACATTATTGTATTACTGTAACGAGAAGCATAACAGACAGTCAAAATTGGAAAGAACATTAATTCTTATGAGTGAAACGTATGAGGCACTGCCGAACGCATCATCTCCATATAAGTTGTATTTAACCGATCACGTATGTACAATAGCTTTACGTTTTGATTAACGTCGACGCTTAGCCTAAGCCTGTACAGTACATGTTGTCTGAAGGGGCGCAGTGTGGTGGGCATAAAAACACATAGGCTATTATTAACCCAATAAACAAAATGAATAGATCATCATTGAATCTAAAAAGAAAAAAAAAAAAAACGTGGTCCATCCATTTTAAGCCAACATTGTTATCTATCCCTTCGATATGTATAGGTTTACAATTAAGACTTGGTCGTTAACGATCTATCCTTGTTCAAACGCCGCTGTAATCTGTGCCCTGCAATCTGAATAATTTGAGTGCGTGACCGATGAACTGCGTTATCGGAGATGTGTAAACAGCGCCAATGTAAATGCATCTGAATCAAGCAGATCGTGTTGTTGAAGCCCAGCCGGTTGGTGTACCGTCCGTCCTTGTCGGTTACACAGTGACAGTAAGGTCGGTCGGATTTTATTTACAAAAAGCGTAGGAATAACTGTTCTAGAGAATTGCAATTTCTAAAAAGCATTTCGAATAAGTATGCTGATAACAGTCAAAGATAAATGATCTTTTGACAACTGCAGACGATATCACTTGTGTTTTAGTATCAGGTAGAGCGAAAAATGGTAAGTTACCACACTGTTCTAAGTGCGTTTCAACGTAAGGACTATTATAGGCATTGTTATAGTTTATCCATGGTTTAACCTTGTTTGATAAATAATTGGTATAGAATATTATATCATTATTTGCTTAAGCACAAATAGTTGCTGCCATAGACGCTGTTAGATTTCTATTGATTTGAAGGCTCAAGCCGCTCAACTATTATTAAGCGACTGAGCTGGAATGAAATCAGAGATCGATGTATGTATTATAACGACGTTCGCCTGACTCTGGTCGTAAGCAGCGGGCACCCTCATTGGTGAGAAGTGGGCCTAGTGCTAGAGTGGCCTAATATAATAAACTGCGAACCTACTGTAGGTCTATTGTAGGCAACACATTCTTATTTCCCATTACCAATAAAATAGTGTAATCCCTGGATCGTTCTGGACGGTGGGCTGATTCTCAGTGGAGGAGGGGGAAAATGGCATATGCCAACAAGGGTATGCTTTAAGTCGTTCCTTAATTCCAATTCTTAATACAATATTTGCATTCCTACTGTAAATTGTTAGGCATATTGTTGAACGTTTCTATCATTTCTGTATGTCCGGCAGCCGCGAGCTAAAGCGCGTGCAAGTAGTGGACTAATAGGGCCTCACTCATAATATCTAAATTATCTATAGCCTAGTACACAAAACCGGTACTTGCAGGACCCCGCATTTATCTTGTTTATTGAAGGGTTCAAGTGCTCCTTGTCGATCTTTGAATGAATAACGATCGATTTTCCTGATAATAGGCCTATTATAATATACGGTAATTTTACGTAAGGCATTAGGGAAGATGTGCGATGAAGTGGCTTCTAAATAGCCTAGGATATTACTCCAGTAAGAGAATTATGGTGAATTTTATTGTAATATAATAAGAGCCCTTTCCCACATTCCCGCCGTTTGATGACGTAATGATTATAGCGTTACATTATTTATCCATATATGATGATGACAGATCTCAAGTTATGATTTAAGCCTTCATCACGTGGACCTAAATTACCCTATCTGACTTGCCTGCTTCTCAACCTGCTAGACAAATGCACAGCATATTTTACGTCTTTACTCTTAAAATGTGACGCCGAGTTCCATTTTACAGCTCCCTCGGCGTTTTCACCATCTAAGTTATTTTGCTTTTAAAGTAAATACATCGCCAACAACTGCTGGGGAAATACGATTTTGCGAAACGTCAGAGTTCCTATCAAATTATTAATGAAGAATGCGTTTCGATATACAGTAATTATAATAACTGCATCTTTTGTCACTAACTCAACTGGCGGACACACGCCCTCATCGCAACCACGCAACAACTTGACAACTATCGATGAACGTATTCGCACTACGCACACGTATATGCGTGTAATCTAACACATGCACATCCGTTTTAATCAATAAGGTGAACACACCAGTGATAAAAAAAAATATTTGAGGGGAAATAAGGTATTTAGGCCCTATATAGAATGAACTACTTCCCATATGCGCGCTTTAAGAGGTTACGAGCTCAAATACCAAAAAAAAACTTCATCTCTTCTCGTTTATTCAAATCTTTCCGTCTCTGACATTACTGCGTTAAACTTCGCTTTCGAAGTAGATTATCTACATTTTACTTGGGGCTAGTTGCTGCTTCTGATAGTAGGAAGCACTTTCCTAGGCTCCGAGGATTACTTACATAACGACTGCTGTTAGTGAGAAGCCGACCTTTCCGATAGCTGAAAAAACGAAGGGTGATGAGGTTAGATCACGAGCATGTATTAATAGAATGCTTGTTAATTTTTCTGTCGATGGAAAGAAACATTTATTTCCGTTGACCTCCATATTCTGACGTTTCCCACGTTTTCCATGAAAAGAAGCTCTATAATTTTCCGTTTACTATCTTTTAATGTGTTTGCAAAAAGTCGGCGCAGCGAATTCTCCTATAAAAAAATGTTAAATAAATGTTTTCATATATGACGTTTTTATTATTAACATCATCATAACTAACGACATAATATTGTTAAAAATAGCAATAATAATCCTCATAATCATAATAACATTATCAATAATAATAATAATAATAATTATTATTATTATTATTGTTATTACATCATCATTATATTCATTATTATCATTTATCACTCCGAAATTACAGGACTGTCCTTATTTAAAAATTCTGAATTTTTTCTTGCGTAGGCATGTAAACTTGCGTGTAGCCCACATTAACTGTTTATACTGTACATAAATGCATAAAATACTGTACAACCTTATACTACCCGGCCCCCTTGAGTACCGTACAATGCGTATAACACAGTGTATGACGTGCAACGTATATCCCGTTAGTACGTTTACAGTACATGCGCAGATAATACCAATTAGACCTACTTTAACAACCCATTACGTTCAACCACGTGACAAACTGAACGTACAATTTCACTAATCTCTCAACGTTTTACCATTAAGGCAATGCATACCGAACTGATTTAGAAGGTTATCTCTAAACTCGGCCTAACGCTTTGAAATAAGCATTTGAGAATGTGAAAATAAAAAAAGGGCAATCATAGCGTTGAAATTCATGACATTTAGATTTAAATAGAAACCCATCCATTTGGATGGGACTGTGATTCCAATTCGTTGAAGCTCTATCATTTTGTGACGATGATGTATACGTATCTCATTTCACTAGATCCGTTTTGTTCAAGTGCAATATTCCATGGCTGTGAGCATTCGACATTTTCAATTTACGTCAAGAAATGTTATGTACATCATAAATCGTGCGTTGCTGGAATTGGCATTTTATTGTTTGGTCTTTTCGATCAAACTTCCTCGTAGGTCTATTGTGTTCTTAACATGTTTAATCAAACAACACAGCCGCAAAGCTGTTCTACGGCTAAACAGGCAGTAATTTACGACAACAGGAACGAACTAGGACGTATAGGTACTGTTGTTCCTCTAGGCACCAACGGCTGCCTAATTGGAGCAATAAAATCGTCTTATTAAACTTACTCAGTACACAATGCATTGTCAAGATTTACAATAATTGATACTAGCTCCGATGGCGATAGCTGCCAAGCCAAGATGATGCGAAGTTATTGACCTAAAGAGGGCGCTATGTCAAAGTTTGAAGGACGAGCGCCAGTAATGGGGTTTTAAGTTGACTGAACGACTCCGTCTTTCTACGGTTGTATACCCTTAAATTGATAAGAGGCTCCGTGTCGATCATCAGAAACATTCAACTCGTGCTGAGAAATAAACATATACACCACTCGAGTTTGGCATTCTGCAAGACTTACATGTTTACACTGAAAACAACCATGTGCGCGTAGCCTCAAGTAAACCTACCCAGTTTCTGTAGAATTGTAATATGCCAATGTCACTCTTGTCGTATAGGAAGAATGTGAATGGAACCCCTATTTGGTTTTAGAACAACATGCCCTGCTAAAATATATTCACAGACGTATTCAAAGCCTGGGAGATTATATTGTACCTAGGGAAACTGTTTTCATATTATGCCGCGCACATCGTAACCACGGAGACGTCACTAATTTACACAGCGTGTAATTTGGCTTATATGCATAATTAATTATGTATTAGAGATGCGTGATTCTTTGTGGTATGAATCATTTAGGTCCTTAAATATTTTTTTTTTCTTTGATGATGTGGAACAATACCGTTGGACTAACGCCACTATAAAGTTCCTAACATGTCATTAATCTTAATATTTCGTAATAATAATGAATGATAGGTAATTAAAACTTATATCCTTCGTTATATTACATGCATTGGCAGTCTCATAAGATGACGTCACCACCGTCGGCTGGGCATACAATACGTCGGCCGACAGTCGGCGACGAATCTATTTCTCTGTGAACGCTTGACGACGCGACGCCGTTATACTGTCGGACAGTCTGGGCGAATCGTCATTGAACCGTCACAGGCGCCCCCGTCACGTTGCGCAATGCGTATCCAGTTCTAAATAATTTCTGTCGTGGAACTATGCCCTTACTCTATCTCAAATTTCTGGGGGTTCCAGTTTTTTACATCCTATATTACTATATAATTATTGTTATTATACTATATTTTACAAACACTCTTATTAAATAAATTATCTTCTTGTTCTACAAACCGTTAGTGGATTGAAAAAAAAAAATTAAGAAAATAGTTTACGTAATAATCTTCGAAAATATATTCATTTTACATTTTACCTTCCGAATAAATCTCTCTTCATACAATTTTCTCCGTTCATTATAATCACTGCCTATATCTCATCCTCATATTTACTCATCCTATTATCTTCTGTTTTTTTTTTATACATAAGAGATTAATCGTTTGAGTTAGAAAGACATTTGACAATCGATGCCGTGATAGAATCAGATTATACTCGGTGTATCATGTCCTTTTCCCCAAGGATCTTAGAATAATTATTAATGGCGCGCAATCTCTGACTCGCGGATCCCGAAATAGGATTTACGAAAATACATTTTCGATCACAAAGGTCAATTCTGAATAGGACCTTCGATTTATCCATTAATCTTATTGTGAGTTTTCGAACTAGCTAACAATACACTTATGTCTTTTGTCGAATGATGACAGCAACTAATTACAAAATAATTATATTGTTGATGATGATAATGATGATTATTGTATACGACAATGATTTCGTTGGTATTATTGTTAATGAATTACGATGATAATGATGGCGACGATGATAGTGTCAGTTTTATCGCCATAAGCCTACATAATAAGTATTACTGGTGTAATAAAAGATGTTAATAGGTATGTTATTTATTATTATCATTTAAAATACAGGCGAAAAAACGCATTTGTTTGTGCGTCGTCTTTGGTTCACTAGTACATATTAAGTGCAAGCATCGTTTCAATTGTTTCGTTCGTATTTATTAACATTAGTCCCAGATTGAACATTATACATGATTGTTTCTCGAAATTACTCACTTATGCAAAATGTTATGACGATCTCAAATCAGATTAGAATGAATGTTAGCGAGCTGAATTATATTCGTTCAGTTAGGTCTTTACTGTATTTTGTCTTTTAATATTGTTTGAGGGCACTGTTTATATAGCATCACTGTAGCCATGGTAATAATTGTAAACAATACAAATTTATCTTCATATCTATTATTATTATTATTATTGTTATTATTATTATTATTATAGATAGTTTATTATTTAATAGGCCAATAACTATAAATTATTTTTGTCAATCGTATCAATTTTAGGTCTACTCTTGTCATTAAATCCTAGTTAGGCAAGATTGAATTTTCATAAATAAAAATTCAAAAATAAAATGTTTTCACGTTAAAATAAATCAGAAACATCATTTAAACAGAACTAACTTGTCTTAAAGTGTAATTATTAGAATGTATATTTATAACGCGCAAAATACTTTACTCCATGCGCTTAAAACAAGTGAAAATATGTAATTGGAAATACAAAAATTAATGTAATGTGCAAGATACACAAGAAGCTTGGTTTCCATATACAATCGCTACACGCTATCGCCGACAGCTTTCTGTGATGCTGATTGGTCGGTTCAAATCGGGGAGCCTTTCCGATTGGGTCGGGGATCGCTACGCAGCACAACAGTTAGCGATTTTATGGAAACCAGGTTTTACAGCAACGAGCTCTCAGTCTAGGCATGCGCACACGTCATTGGCATGTGATGCGATATTTCCAATACCATTTAAGTTTCGAGACAATAATTACGAACGCATCATCGTCTACCAATATGAATCATAACACTAGTACAAGGTTGTTGTTCAATTTATTATGTTATTATTGATAAGGATCGTAATAAAGTGGTTATGATAAAATAACGGCGCAAAGTAGGTATTATAAAACCCGGTTTCCATAGAATCGCTACACAGTCGCTACAGCGTTTCACGGCAATCCTTGCACTGCGTATCTGTCCCCGACGCAATCGGGAATCACTGATTCAACTGACCAATCAGCGTCGCCAAAGGAGTCGGCGATAGAGTGCAGCGTTTTTGGGAAACCAGGCTTTAAGATCTAGCTTAATTTGGGTCTATTTACGTAAAAATCAGTAAATCTATGTATATTCCCAACCGCTTCAAAAAAAATTTCAGTAAAATTTGTTTTTGAGTTGAATGTGAATATCCAGTAAAAACGAATGCCGGTTGATAGGACATTCCTCCGCGTAACTGATAAACAACTCGCCATGCATAGCATTACGTCGGTTTCACTAAAATATCCATAATATTGGTGATCAATATTGCCTTTAATTTTCTGTCTTGTTTAACAGCAACCTGACTTTAATGTGTAGATTATTATATATGTCATATTTAACCGATCAGATTGTGTTAGTAAGCTACGTGGCTATGGTTTGTAGGCCAGTTCAAATGTTGATATCTAATCAACGCTTTTACCAACGCAGGCCTAAAACAATACTGATTTGTTTATAGCCTGGCCTCTTTTATGGTACTCATTATTCCCGCCATATCCTGAATTTGTGGTTAATTAGTGCATAGGCTTACAAGGCATAACCGCGACAGGTCAGAACTCCTTCTAACTAGTTAAAGGAGTACTATTATTGTACTGAAATCTGTAAAGCCGGACACACGCAGCATCCATTGACCGTCGGGCCGTCGAATCTCTCTCATGGTACTCATTACTCCTGCAACTGGTTAATTAGTACATAGGACTAAAGGCGTGAGCATGTCAGGTCACAACTCCTTATAAGTACATAAGGGGTACTGTATGGCACAGTCGGTATTGAAATCTGTAAAGCCGTGCAGGTAGAGCGTCGACGACCATCGGCCGTCGAATCTATCTCCGATCTCTCTGAGCGGAACGCAGTCTCCTGATTTTCGTCATTAAGAACGATCGGTTTTGCGTGCCTCATGCGTTGCGTTATCTGTGAAACCGCGTCGACGCATGGAGTGTTTGAAAAACAATTCGATCAGTGTTTCTGACATTAGACATTTGCTACTGACATTTCTGCCAGCAAAAGTAAGGGTATATTCAACGAAATAGAAACTCTTAGTTAATACTGTACATCTGTTTAGTCGAGAGCACACTTCGTCGTACGACGTTCGGGTTCTCGAATTCATCCCCGCTCTGAGCACCTGGCGATGCGACACCGGTTTGCAGTCGAGCGGATCGTCATTACAATCGATACATCGCATGCGCCTCGTGGACGCGTTGCGTTTTTCATGAAACTGCGTCGGCCGGCAGCAATCAGCCAGGTCCGTGCTGCAGATAATATTGGCGAATGAAGAAAGAAACTTTTTTCTCTTTTTTTTTAAATTTTGTTAATAACTTACATAAAGATACTGGAATTTTATTATTCCATTTTAGCTCATCCCAGACAGGGTAATATTTTGCCCTTATAAGCCACCTTATGCGATGAGTGTAGACGCCGTATCACTTTGAATATAGACCAATGCATACCCACCCTATTATCTAATTGTAGTTTCAAATAATGAATCTTAGATAGAATGACGTTTCCAACATTAATGATTCCATTAAGATAATGCCCATGGTTAATGGAAATTATTGTGTATGAAAAAGCATGGTAGCCCTATAAGGATTAGTCGGTTTCATTACTCTCAGTAGATTAAATTTCTACATCGAAATGAAGATTTAAATTAATTGGTACTCAAGTATAATTGATAAAAACTTAAATGCTTTTTCATATTCGATTTTTTTTTTGTTCGAAAGCCGTATCACATACCGGTAATTGTTAAAATTGCTTCTAATTTTCTTTTTCAGTATGGATTTGTGAACCACGCGTTGCAGCTTACTGTCTTGCGTAATTACGGCGCTGAAGTTTGGGAGCAAATCAAGTAAGAAAGATTACAATATTTTTTTTTTCTTTTTTGTCCCAACAGAGATTTACCTTCCACAATTACACTGCGCTTGCGCAGATATATTCTATGCTGTGGTAGTGAAATTTTTATATAAAATGGAATGTATTAAGGTCCATTTTGACCTTTTGACCTAGTTTCTGCAGTATACTCATGCTCCTTCCAGAAGCAGCCTGTAATCTCTTGAGGGCGTTTTTTGTCACAAGACAATTTCTAGTGTTTTGTGATTAAACCAGAACATAGAAGGTAGATCTTGGTAATTATATTTAGGGAATCCAACAATCAAAATCGCATCAGGACGCTGTCAATAAAAAAAATACAAGAAATAACTGGATCTATCAAGAAAAGTATAACTTAAGCAAACCAAAATGGAACCGTAGGCAAAAATGGTCATTGACCACTGATCCATTAACGTCTGATTTATTACAGTTCATCAAATTTGTTTATATTATTGTCTTAAATTTTGGGACCATAATTAAGACAATATTATAAACAATTTTAGTTTTACAGTTCACCAAATTTGTTTATATTATTGTCTTGATTATGGTCCCAAAAGTGCGTATATTTACAATCTGTGAGGGACACGAATTAAAGAAAGAAAAGAATGTAACACTCGTCGCATCGTTATAAAATTCGATTGAGTGGCTTATATAGGGGTGTGCGGGCGGGTGGGTGCACGCCTCCAAAAAAAGCTCCGTCCCCAATCGCTGCCACCCATTGAAAATATTCGAGACAAATAAATTACGCTAAAGTAGTTAAACATCACCTCATATAACCTTGTCTTGCGAGCTAGCGCCCCGCACTTAATCACCTAGCACCCCTCCCCCACCCACTTTACCCATCAGCCCTCCCCTCATTTCAATACTCCACGCAACTGTGCTTGTTAGAAATCCGAACTGTGTGATGTTGGCCTGAATTCGTACAAAGATCGTGAAATTACAACCTAATTTGACAATAGAACTGAAACTGGCGTGACAAGCATGTTATTAATTGAGTATTGGTTGTCAAGCGGACAGGTAACTTCAATAACGACAAATCAAAACTAACATTTCAAACAACATGAATAATTATGCACGCAAAGTATACGCGAAAAAAAGTATTGTGGTACAGTAATGTGAAAATAAAGAGTACAGAAGAGGTATGTTCGCTATTCATTGGACAATTGAACGGAAATTCTAAGGCCCTGTCGAAAATATTGGAGTTTCCATCTAAGCCAGACATATTGTCTACAGTTTTCTTTGTATCTGCCTCTACCAAATAGAATAGTCTATATTCACCAAGAGTTATAAGAACCTAGTAATGATGTAACGCTGTTACGGAGGAAATTACGCATTGCGCATGCACGTGCACGGATCCAATAAGCACAGTTTAATGAAACTCAGCGTTCAGATACCATGGTTAATAAAACGTGCTATATATTAAAGAAAATAGCATAATTATGCCTTTTATTTATATGTTCTTATTTAGATAAACTAAGGCACAATAAAAGACACGTCGGTGGACATCCATTTAACGGGTTTCCAAGACTTGGACAATTTAATTGTTAGCTTCATAACAGAACGTGACATGCAATGTTGTACGGTTCGCAAAAATTGTAACGAACGTGTAATGTGTTCTGTAGTACTCTAAGGGTTGTACATTTTATACACCACTTTAGCACTACTATAATACCTTAGAAGTCAATGGCGGATTCAATGGTACCCAGCCGGCTCGTCCACCCCCACCCCCACCCCCACACACACACACTCTAAATTGCTCAAATTTTTTAACAATGGAGATAATAAAGAAAATTATATTGAAAGTAAGTCTGAGAGTGCAATTTCCGGCCATCAGAGCTGCCATAACCACAATTATTTTACCTCGCCCCGAACCATAGTGGTGCTGAGGTGGTATAGATCCTCCCTCTGTGAAAGTACCTCCACGGGCCCCCTCTATTTTGTATTCCTGGATCCGCCACTGGAAGTGTATCAGTAAATGTAAATATGACAGTGTACAAAGATTGTCATCTGTAGTCAAACGTACGTACATTACAGAACATAATTATTATAATTAGTTCAGATTATATATTTATTTAAACAGATGACTGTTCAGTAAGCATACTACTGTTCTCCCAAAGGGCCTATTATACTTTATAAACCAATTCTCATTAAGTGGCTTAGAGAGTTGATCTGTTTTTAGTTGTGTGAAAAAACTCTGCCGTATGAATGGAACCCAGGACCCAGGAATTGGGAGTAAGCACCTTTACCAACAATCCATAGACAGCTCCGTTATAAGCCCATAAGCCTTCTTTATAACATTGTATTATTGAAAATTATTGTTATTATTACGTTTCTATGAGTAAACAAAGATTTAAATGTAAATGTATTGTACTTGGTAGATATCAACAAGGAAACTTGGATTAGGCTCTTGGGGACATTTGACGGCCGCAGTGCATTGCTTAAACAAGATCACTGCCAGACAATCCAATACTATTTTCGAATAGTGTGCTAAGTTAGTATTCGTGCAAATGTGCTATTATTCACAAAGGATTAACGGCCTAACTTACCGTCAAAATATCGAGGTTATTAGAGCAAAGTGTCTGAACAGTAGCGTATCTAGAAGTCTTGAAAATGGGGTGCTGATGGGGGGGGGGGGTGCCGCGAAGGTGAAGCTGGGGGCCCTCGATGAGCAGTTGAGGGAGCTACTTCGCATAATAAGGTGATTTTAGGTAATTTTTAACTACTTGACCGTGATTTTTTTTTTTGGGGTGGGGGAACTGGTTGCCCGAGTAGTTTTTGGAGGGGCGTGCGCCCCCACCCGCCACCTCTAGATGCGCCACTGGGACTCAACCTGGTCCGTCTAGCATTAAAATCAAAACCATCATTACTTCTGAACATCATACAGTCAATATAATCATGATAAGCTTATTATTATAAAGTTTTATTATTATTATTATTATTATTATTATTATTATTATTATTATTATTATTATTATTATTATTATTATTATTAGGCCCTATTATTATTATTATTATTATTATTATTATTAGGCCCTATTAATATTATTATTAATGGTAATACTGCAGGTACCGTATGCATTATTCTATGTATTCGAACATGCTGATTTCAACGAACTCAGAATAAACGTATTAAGTTTCCGATTTACCATCGTATTTTATTTTATGCCGTATACGTTTCAATCAAGTGCATTACTTTCTTTGCATCTGTTTCATCAGTATCTTAACATGAGTGAATACGAAGCTTTTACGCAAAAAAAGAAAAAAAAATATTGAAAACAGGAACCTGGAAAATGTTATTCATGATATTATCTCATTCGTTATCGGCTATGGGGAAATCTATTGTATAGAGAATCCACAACAAATGTTAAAATACTGAAGACGGGGACACGCTGCGTGACCGACATTGTTAATATAAACAGCAACAAGGCAGCAGTACATGTAGTCATCACCGATAACAACAACAATAGCAACAATAGAAGCAATAACAACATCGACAATAACAACAGCAATACAGAGGGATAAAAGCAAATGCTCTGACTGGTTAAAGCCAGGAGCACCACGCCTTAAAGGACCAATAATATATATTTATCATTTTGTCCCATACATAGCCGTGTGGGGCCTTTTGAAGGAGCACTAACGTGTAAAATAGCCTATTCACCTACTTCCTTAAATACGTCAAATACGCCGAAGCGGACGGGCTTTCCCCCAGGTTAATAGGGCCCCGAAAAAAGACTTATTCCAGGGGCCTCATCAATAGTTTTAACGTTTGTACCTAAGATGCAAACGCGATAGCTCCGCCCCTTTTGTAAACAAATCGAAATACGCATACGCAAAACCGTAACTAACTTACGTCGAGCACGTAAAATCCTGAAATCAACGTACTCCGCAACGCAAGATGAATAAATTATGACGGCATCTGGTAAGATTAAGGTTAACATCGTGCGGCGAAAACTACAGTACATGTTAACAACGACAACACTAATAAGTAAACAAATAATACCGGGTAATAATAAAGATAAATAGTAATTTTAGTTTTGATGATATAAAGACAATATGAAGTATACAAGAATAAAATATAAGTTAAACATTATTAAATAATTTATTCATATTATTCTATCTATGTAATATCTCTGCCGCAGGAGGAAAATCTCAAGTTTCCGCTGCTTTCTAAATTCTGTGCTGCCTGCGTCCATATAATTCCTCTAAATCCGTTAATCCCCTATCCCCGGCTTCCGACTCGAATGTCTTCTATTCACTTCTTTCGTCTTATTATTTTAACAATTATAATGATAGGCTTAATGGCACTTGAGTTTGTTGTTCTAGCCTCGGTTACATAAACATACAAGCTCTCCCTCCTCGGGGAGTGTTCAATAATATGCAAGCACAGTGTTACAATCCGGATGAATTAAACTTTAGAAACATTCATGTTACCAGGTACGGAGCATGAGGGCGAGTGATAGCAGTTTTATTATTAGGCGTTTTTTGCCTGGGCCGAAATAATGTGATATTCCAGAGGATACTGTGACAGTCGCACGCGTGGATGGAAGGATTTTGTTAATCCAGAGAGGAATGGATTACACAATCTCTGCACTTAGCCAGATTGCGCGTGGGCCAATTGTACTACCAGACAGTGGCACTCGGGGGCGCTAGTATATATATATTTAGAAAAAAAAAATCAAATGTTAGAACCAATATGGCATCAACGACCATGAGGGGACGTATACAACAGTAAGCACATTCTAAAAGTGTTTGGATGTAGGCCTAATTGCTCCTCGTAGCTTTAGTTGCGTTTACATCAACGCATCTGAACCGCTCTAGCGTTGCGTGCGTTTGCTCTGTAGTGTACCAAGGGAACAGTAATGGACACAGCGATTTTTGCTCGTGTTCACACATTATTTCATGGACTCGAATCCCACGCTGTCTTCTAATTCGCATGACTTTCATGTGTAACACACTGTATAATTATAAATTTGTGTCCTG